ATTCTATCAGCTGCGTAGACACCCGTCGTATGCGCCGATATACCGCGAAGACCGAGGTAAAGGTCTAGCGTGTTCATATATGCGGTCCGTTATTCCGAAGCCAGAATTCAAGACGCAATGCGTTGTTTAGAGCGCAAGTAAACGATCCCCGTGTCTCCTTACAGGCGTGAACGATACACTCGTAATGGTCACGATTCGGTGGGAAGTCCTCGTATGGTGAGTTATCGGGGGTTTCATCCAAATTTATAACTTCCCTTGCCATAAAGGTCTGCAGAAAAAGTATGCTCTCCGGACCTCGCGTGTATATGTTCCGCGAAATACCGGCAATATTTCGGAGATTGGTGTATAACTGTTTGTACGTTACACCGCCGTCGAACCACTCTAGACCGTGTTGATAGCGTGTCATCGTGTTGTTCTCGCTTCTGATCGCCGGTGGTAATTCGTTGAAATCACAGGGCGGTGAAATGATCCAGTGGCCTATGTATTTTCTTTCCACAGCCACAACGCCGATTTCCTTCGGAGCCAGACGCCCCTCGGAGTCATTGAAGTACTCGATATCGATCACGAAATCCATCGTTGCGATGCTAACTCGAAGGCGTTCAACGAGAAACTAACGACAATGCTAACGAGCAGCCGCGATACCGAGTGCACAAAAGATGATGACGCATAACCCAAATTGCTGACCTATGTATTTTCTTCGATTGTTCAGCCGCCGTAATCTACGACGATCTGACGCGAGACGTCGATCTCCAAAACGTTATCGTACTCGGCGTATGCGATGCAGTTCACGGTGGCGGCCAGCGGCTCGTCGAAGCGTACCTCAATTCGTACGCTACCGTGCTTGATCAGGTTCCAGTGGGTGTTGCTATTTGCCGAGAGATCGGGTGTGAGATCGAAAATGAACAGACAGTAGCCGTCTGCGTAAGCGCTCCTAGATATCGAATTACCCTCGTTGAGGAAGTGTATGCCCGTGCCAGTGAAGAGTGTGTAATACGCGTCCACGTAAAGACCGGATTTGCCGAAATCGGTGTGAGAGCGTGTGATACGCGTCCACGTAAAGACCGGATTTGCCGAAATCGGTCTGCAGTGCTTTCGAGGGTACTTGAACACCGTCGACGTACAGCGATAAGAAATTAATACGATAGTTTTTAAAATTGAACGGGTTGAGTTGATAGTTGCCATTGAAGGCTTTGTTATTTACGAAACCTATTATAATCCGCTTAGGTAATTGGCCGAGAATCACGTTATCCATAGTGCCACCGTGCAAACCGGCGTGCATTGTCAGCGCCTTGACCTCCACGCGCGTAAGCGGATACTTGGCCGTTGTCTTAGACAGCATTTTAGAATGAGCAATTAGAATAGCGGGGCTTATTTTGGCGCGTCTAACGAGGAGCGTGGCCTCCGTTATATGTAAAGAACACTCGCTGTCGGGGTCCATGAGGGAGAAGCCGTCTCTCGTGCGTACGAGACGTAATCGGAGTTCGACACCATTTAATAAAAATTTTTCTTGGTTAAACACATCGCAGTGTAAATGACCGATCAAATCGACCGTCTTGTCTTTACCGACGAAAGCCTGCCTATTCGCGAGACCCATATTCTTGCCCTCTGTATCGTCCATACGACCGGGCGTGTCATGGTACCAGAGCACGCTCGAGAGGTGCGACCCCTTAGCGGCTGGTCCATAATTTAATAGCGTCTCTATATAGGCCCTGTAAGCGTACGCGTTATTAGGTGGCGATACGAGTTTCTGATTAAGAAACACGTCCACTTGATTGAACAACGAGTGTAGCAGATTGTTAACAGGGGCTGCTTTGCTCAGAGCGTCCGCTGCTGACGCGTCCTTGGAGCGCAGCTGTACGCGTAAACTCAG